AACATATATAATATATATATATATATATACAGAATGTTCGTTTCTTGCTAACGTGCCCATTTTTCGTGAACTATCGGTAACGTTGAGTGACGCTGACGGAACTGAGGCAGAAATGTCCACAAGTTGCAATGTCTTTACGGATTCAATGCCTGTGCCTATGTCTATAACTTATTGATAATATACAGCACGACACGAAGCGAGTGCTAAAAAATCGGTTAGATGATTGATCTATATACTCCTGTACCTCGTTTGGGACGTAAAGGGCATAAAGGATTTTTAAGAATTCGAATCGTTGTTGTACGATACACTTGTACGATACACTTGTACGAAATTATAACAGCGCGACCATCGAGAATTTGTCAAAAATCGAGAATACTATGTACGAATAGTTCGGGGGCACTGACTGCATTTGTTTAAATAAAAATTTCTTGTGTTCTGCATGTGCGTGCATACGAGCTATGAGCTAGGAGTGCCGTTCGCCGGGAAAAGAAGAGATAGCGTGCTTAGTTGCGGTTCTCGGCGCGTGTAGAAGTCCAATTGCCCGAAACCGGAGAGGAAGGAGGAAATTTCCGGAGCTCATCTCTTTTCTTGGCCCTCGACGGGAAATGGTAGCGAGCCACTCGGAGCTCCTTTTTCCGAAAGGAGGGAGACCTTTTTGGTCAGTGAACCCGGCACCGGTCCCTCGACTGTGGCTGAAAGTTTTGCTTCGGTCCACGGCCAGTATTTATGTCAGGGTAGCAGAGCGTGCACTTTCTGCTCCCCGTGCTGGCGAACGGAAGATTGAAACTCTCGGCCCGGTTACACTGGCCGCGATCGAAGCCTATCGGCCCGCTTTAGTTTCCATGGAGATTCGTTAATTATCGTTGAATTGTCCTCCCTTCACGTGGCCCGCGCAGTGTTTTGCTTCCGACAGTGACAATTAATCCCTTAACTTGCAATAACCACGGTCAGACTCTCGACCAAGATTTCCCATTCGAGTTCAATGATCGGGAATATCATCGTTGCACGCCGCATGGGGCGTCGCATTATTTAGCCATCGTTAAAATTTAATTCTGGAATAAGGTGACCATTCATTTTCACTACGGAAATAGTATTTGTTGTGAAGGATTCTTGTCTGATATCTATGTGCAGTCGAAGAGAAATGTTGAGTCAAAATCGTTGCAATAACTTTGTAAAGACTGGAAGGGATAATTTTTAAATTATTTAGACAATATGAACGAACACAAATCAATATAAATAATCACTCCTAGAGAAGGAGCAAAATTCTTGATTTCACAATAATCTTTTTTTAGAAAAATAACATCCGTGTTAGTCTAAAAAATATGCTGCGTTCCTTTGTTGAAAAGATTGCATATTTTACTCGGTTTTCTGCTCAAGAATGTAAACAATATTAAGTAAACGCAGTAATAGCAGTAAACACGAAGTATAAAATGAAATTCTTAATTAACGTTTAGAAAATATTCGTAACTTTTCTACAAAATTTTCCACAAAATATTCTCAATCTACAGAAAAGACACATTTTTGATACTTTTCCATCAGAATATTCTTTCAATAATTAATGTCTCTGTCAATAAATTGTTGTGCATTTTGTAAAATATATACGATGACATAACGGCGATTAACATTAAGCGCATAATCGAAATACATATCATTGTTGAGCGCTTGCCGATAATTTAATTGGCATCGGTTATTATATCATTATCTATTAATTACGTAATGATGAAATACATTGAATATTCATGAAAACCATCTACGACGAACAATAATATTAATAATAAATAACAATTAAAATATTAACAAATGAAACAATGAAAATGGTTACAGTCCATTATTGTAATTGTCCATGACTCCATTGTTTCGTCCCTTAATCACTTAATGAGACACGTTCTACGTTTATTACATTTATCTTTTAGATAATTAGTTAAAATTGCCAATAATAGTCACTACAGTAAATTCTCTCGAATTGTCCAAATGATCGAATCTCCTCTTTCAAAATTCTCTATTTTTGTTTATAAACTGAGGGATAACTCGAGAGAACTTACCGTATTTGCATTAAATTATTTTTAGAAGTAAAAAAAATGCAGTCCATAGAAGCCGGCCATGAACCAACAGAAATGAAAAAGAAACTAGTATTCTGTAACCTTTAGACAATATATGAATGACCATATACGAATCATCTACATGATGTCGCAGTGATGTATAAGCTATGCTAGTATAATATATCTGCAATATCGAAAGAGTGTTCCAAACGTGTTGAACTGTTTCAATGTTCGACATCAATGAATATGCGAAAATGTTTAATTTTTAGAAAGCTTATTGAAATATATAAAAAATCAAATATAATATGAAATATTATATTTAACTAATACCCAGATTAAAAGTAACGAAATACCTACTGGTGGTATCAGTGGTTTTCACCACTATTTTGATTCACTTTGCAGCCTTTGAAACAACACGCGTACACCATTGTTTTAAAAAAATGTTCAAAGTTACGTTCACACAACACGATGATAGATAGTGGATATGAGTAGATATTATCCAATGGCATCTAAGATTTGAACTTGAAGCCTGACGTTATGTCGACCACTTCGCCAAAAATCGCTGCAAGTAGGCGAACAGCTCTGAGGTGTCTAAGGTGTCATCTAAATAGAATAGCGACCGCGTTGAGCAGTCGCCAAGGAGCAGAGCGCATCGAAGAGTGACGGCCGTTGGTAAAAACGACGAAACTTCAAGGTGGGCGTCATTATACGAACGCTGTTTGTTCTCATTAAGGATAAAGTAACAAAGGAACTAACGCGCTTACTTGGGAATCTCGGGGTGGCCGAAACCGGGCTGGAATAAAGTTGGAAAGTTTCCGGATCCATTCCCTTTTTGGGCTTGAACAAGAAGTGATGACAAGGTTCCCTCTCCGCGGGCTCGCGTTGAATTTTGCGCGCTGAATCCGCCAGTTTTCTAGCAGCTCAAGTTCAAAGCCTCGCTCCATCCCCGTTTCCCCGGCCGTCCAGTCATTTCGCGTCGCGCTTTTCTTGCTACGCCCGCAATTAGCTAAGATTATGGGTCTTTGTGCTTCTCCCGAGTTTGGTTAAGGCGCGGCTACGCTTCCTCGCCGGCCGTTTGCCTCGCGGATAGCTCCGTCAATCCGAGTTTCCTGGGACAAGGAATGCGAAGGAATGCAAGGACACATTTTGCGTGCCGCAGGACCTGCAATTTGTAACTGGCGCGAGAAACCCGGCGGGGAACAGTCCCAGAAGTATCCGGACCAGTCAAACGAAATTGTGAATTATCCCGGAACTATTTCAGCCAGCTGCAGACCGAGTAGAGAATCTTAATTAACCTTTACTTTCCTGTCTATTATGCTCGCGCGGATGTCTATCAGCTCTCCTGTGCACGGGATACAAAAAGTTCTTTCGAATTTCGGTCTGTACGAGAGTTATTTTAAATCTACTGTGATTTTCTTACAAACAAGAATTATACGGAATTAATTGTTTAAGCGCAGAACGCTTAGATTATTGGAAGCTCGTATTCGACTCGACAGAAGACAAAATGCTGAAAATTTATTTTTGTTCGTGTGAAGCATGTTTATTTATATAGCAATATAATGTAAGAAAAAAATGTAGATACCTTTTATCGAAGAAATGAAATATCAAAATATCCGTTTTATTTATTAGAAATATATACATAACAATCTATATCTATATATCTATCTATATATATATATAATATAGTCTATATACATAATAATAATAATATTATTATGATATTAACGGAAAAACCTCTCGTTTTACATAGTGTACAATATATATAAAAGATAAGATATAAAGAGATTTATGAAGAAATAAATGAGAAATAAAACAGAAAAAGGTAATATACTATAATATGCACAAGAGTGTCGCAAGAACGGTTTGAAGTGAGAAAACAGTCAAGAGTTGAACAAGAATTTCAAAAATGAAATAACAACCGCAAGAGTATCGAAAGAGTGCTCTGTCATCTGATCTTTTCAATGATGTGCTTTGATTTCAGGGAATTTTGTAGATGACCGGTTGGACGGTAGAAATGTCAGAAGGATTTTTCGAACGAACGGAAGTAGAATTCGGAATCACCGCGAACTAATCCGGAGCAGCTTTCATCCTCGGTTCCTGGCCGAGAGAAATTTCATTAAAATCCGAAGCAACCGACGAAACGAAATCTATCCAGTGGCTCGTGTTACTTACTGTCCACGATAGCAACAGGTAGTGGTCGGGAGCCCTTGGCCTCCTTCATTTTGCAGACTTACGGTTATCCGTTTCAGGTCGTGGGACGCGGATTCCGCCGAGATCGAAGGAAAAATTCGAAAAATCGGGTTTCCATACGGTCCGCGACACACTCGCCATGAATTAACTGCGGCCGCGGCGTGTCGAAATATCCCAGGGAAATTCGATGGACGGCGACTCGGACTCCCGAAGGTCAAACAGTGATTAATACGGTGAATAAATGAACGAGCGAATAAGTTACGGTAAACGAATGCGAAATTGGTACCGTGCAATCAAATTGCGGGGATAAATGAAAGCGCGAGATGGTCAAGATGGCCGACGGTCGCAGGATATTGAATCAATTACATTCCCCCGCGCTGGTAATCCCGCGAAACTCCAATCCCAACATTTTATGGTCAATTTATAAGATAAACTGTTAATTTGTTGCAGCGGCCGAAAATGTTCATTGCTGGCCGGCTATTTATTGACGACTGAATCAACTTGTCGAATTACTGTGACTTATTGATTTCATTAAACGGACACGCAAGGATGGTTGATTACGAAATTGCGTTCGCATTACTACCTCTCGGCCTTTACTGCAGGATTTACAAGCTTGCCGCACGTGGATCTCATTTTACAAGGTGTAATTCCATATCACGGACTTTCACACGGTTTATTAATTTGTCTACAGGTCTTTTAAAAAAAAAACACGTTTTATTCGCTATTTACTATTTTTATTTATCTTCTACTTTTTTCCGCTTATTTAAAATGCTAATATTACGGAATAAACATTTTATGATTATGGTAATTAAGGTTGATGATTAAAAGATAAAGGTTATTAAACACAGTTCTAAAAAAGAATGCATAAGGAACAAATATAGAACAAGTACCGTTATAACAACTCTGTCACAAAATATCTAAAGCATAACATCCCTTGTCCTTGTCGTATAAAGTGTATAATAACTGTATCATTCTTCGAAATTACTATACCACTAGTTATACGAAATTGCAGTTCGTATTGTACTATGTTATTCATTCTAATAGGATAAAGAGTTCCGAACACATACCAAATTCCGTTTGAAAGCAAACGCGGTGAAAGCAAATAGACCTATCTGATAGAGTGTGTTCTCTGATCAAACACTGCACGTGATTAATAATTAATAGTGCATCGAGGCAATTTACTCTTGGGCAAAAATTGCTAAATTATTCTTTATAAATTGGTAAAAACTAGATCGTGCAAATTTCGTGGTTCATGGCAAAGATAAAAAAGACGTTTAAGATTAGATTTACAAATTTATAAAATTTAAATTTACAAAATTTGATATGATAAAATATGACAAATTTTTTAAATTTACGATGATTGAAATTATAAAGACGCGTTTATACGGAGCTTATCGAATGAGTTTGTTTCATTGTGATTAAAATCGCTAGGAATTTGAATAAATGCACGCTCGTTATTTTTACGAGGCAAGATAAAATAGCTGATGTTAATGCTCGGTAAACTTAGCGTTAAATACGTTGAATTCGAAGACTTCGGAGAAATGAATATGGCGAGATCGCAGTCTAATATATTAAAACGCTGCACCCGCAGCAATTACATTCGAACGTGGAAGTGCCAACCAGACGAAATAAAAGAATGAACCCCGTCTGACAATTAATTTGCAGAATAAAATACTGAGTTACGGGGGACATTGCGTACATAAAACTGCAGAATTTCAAGCGGTAGTAAATCTTTCTACGGGTTTCCAGTCTAGGCGGTTTTTCCAACTCCCAACGAACGTAAACCGATTAAGTCGGACCTGCGAGCATAAATGAAACATTTAATTCTCGTAGCTGCCTCGGTATACCATCGTCTCTGTAGAAGCCTTGTAATTATCGTTCTCTATAATAATTCTCATTTACAGTCGCAGCCGTAACGAGAGCATAAATAAACTCCTCCATTCTGTTGTCTGCGAACGACATGCCACGAAAGAATATTGTCACCGTTGCTCCGGTGTTACGCGCGACGAGCCGAAGAAAATATTCACGGAGTAAGTAAATCTTTGGATTCAATTGTTCGCCAATCACTTTCTTTCCAACGTGATTCTTTCTTCCCGTCCTTCCCCGTTATAATTGAGCTCAAGCGCTCAAACATAAGTTCACTTCATTATACAAAGTATATTTATTCTCACTTATAAAGAAGAATGTATACCGAAGATTTTTCTGTCATATCTACCAGCAACTCGACAAAAATTTTGCAGAAATCATTACTTTCCTATACAAAGTCGTATTGAAGTGAAATCTGTTATACTGCTGTGAAATTACATAAATCCATTCGGCGCAGTTCTTTAAAAAATGTATCATAGTCATGTTACTAACAAAATTTATCTTATTTGTATGATTCATAAAGTATATCATAATTGCACTATTAAGAAAGTGTATCATAATTACACTATTATTACTTTGACCGCCGCATCTCTCATATGTGGTTGACAGAATTATTAAAAAAAATTCAATTTTCCGCTGATCCATTATAATTTCTTCATTTTATTAAGATTCGCAATAGGTAAAAACGTTGAAGAAGTAATAGATATCATACAATTTTACATTGCAATTTTCATTTAATCGAATAAAATACTTTAAGTCTACGAAACCTTCGAGGTTCTCGGCGCAGCCGTCGGAGTGTTAACATCGATCAAAAGACATACACAATTTACAATTGTATTCTCTCTTCGTCCAGCCCCTGTTATCGATCGGTCCAAACAGTTCGTGCGAATGTACTAATATTGCGACGTTCTTCTCGAATCGTGTCAACTTTTACAATCCGCATGCCCGAAGAATTGGAGGACAGCGTTTAACCGGGGCACGGTCAGCGAAGAAAAACCGAGCTTAGGATCGTCAGCCCTTTGATTCGCGTCAGCCGGAGCGCAGATCGCGTTGGTAAGTTCGAATTAAAGCGGGGATCCTTTTATTCAATTCGCCGCGGCGTTCCCGCATTAACCTTGTCCTTAGCGGCGCGGCGATTAACGCGTTAAAAGCACCATTTTGGGCCACGCGAGAGGAGGACACCGCGTCGCCGGCTCTCATTCTACGGACTTTACTAATATCCCTAAGTGCATCGTCAGCCGCTTGATGCAGCGTTGCACAAGCTCTGATACTCTGCACTCTGGGGTTCACTTACTTTTTCCCGTCCTTCTCCCTCTCACGGCCGTGTTCCTCCCGTTCTTTTTCATCGGTTCATACTTCTGCCGCTCTCCGTCGTTCCCTTTCAACTCGCCTCGTTCTGTCCCGCGTCTCGCCCCTCGATTCTAACAGCAACGTGCTGCCTCTGCACGCGGGTGTACGCGCGTACCCGCTTCACCCGCTACGCCCACGCCCGGTTCACCCGCCTCGCTCGTTCGCGCTACCCGCTCGCGCTAGGCGGCGGCTGCTCTCGAGATCCCCACTTCTCATGATTACTTCCGATTTTATCCTAGACACAGAAATTGTGGTGGTATGCCCACGGTTTCCCAAAGAATGGTAATATAAAGTAGTGCACCTGTGTTTTCTCCGACGCAGAAAGGAAAGAAAAGGGTGGAAAGCGTAGCGCCGGCTGGAACGCCGCCGCGCGAAAGAATAAAGACACGGGGATGCCGAACGCGACGGAGAGAAAGAGAGAAGCGAGACAGAGCGAGAGAGGGTAGAACACGGCGCGAGAAAAAGAGAGAGAGAGTCCGACGAGAGAGAGACGGAAACATCGCGAATGGTACGCCTTGAACGTGTTGTACCGCGACCTTCCTTTCTCTCGAACTTCCCCTCTCGTTCTCGTTCTCATTCTGGTTTTCTTGTCGCAAAAATCCCGTTCGCAACACTTCCTACCTGTTAATGGCGGCTCTTTTCCGCATTGTCCGCGCGAAACCTCGAAAAACTATCGCCCTTCCGCCGAACGCGAAAGGAGAAACGTCTACAGATCTTCACCTGCTGTTATTTCCCTTCTCTCGAACCCACGTCACTCGTCGGTCTACAATGTGGTGCATTCGAAGCATGACGAACAATATCGTCTGCTTAATCCTTAAACTGATTGCCAATTACTGCCGACTATTCTTCCGATAAACTTTGCGCATTCTCGAGTCAGTAAGTGCAAGTAAATTTACGTTGAAGCATGATAAGCTGATAGAGGATTACGTGAATTTTCACATAATTACATTATCGTATATTAATTATAATCAGGTTAAGAGTTGAAACAAGCCGAAGAATGAGTGTCAACGTAGTCGTTTTCAATCGCATTCTTCACGAATTTAACAAGACAACACGTTCAAAGATATCTGTGACGGACAACGGCACATGCGTCGAAACTTGTAAAAGATAGATGTAATGACAAAATATCTATTCGTACAAATTATACCAATTACCCATTTATTGCGCAAACGCGTATCTATTGGGTTGGCAACTAAGTAATTGCCGATTTGTTCAATGAAATACAAAATTTTTTTTACTTGGAACGAAGTTTAATCTGTAATGTATTTTCCATTTTGTTCGATGACCTTTTGCCATCTCTCTGACAACTTGAAAATTCCACGCTCGTAGAAAGTCTGATCCTTTTCGGCCAAAAACTGAGTTAAGTGAGATTTTACAGCGTCATTATCATTCAAAGTTTTACCACGAAGGGAGTTGTCCAGGGATCGAAATAAGTGGTAATCCGATGGCGCGAGATCAGGGCTATATGGTGGGTGTAACATCAATTCCCAACCAATATCCATCAATTTTTGCCGAGTGGACAAAGACGTGTGCGGCCTAGCATTGTCCTGCTGGAAAATGACACCTTTACGATTGACCAATTCTGGTCGCTTTTCCTTGACCGCTGCATTCAATTTGTCCAGTTGCTAACATTCACGGATAATAAAAAATAACATAATAATAATAATAATAATAATAATAATAATAATAATAATAATAATAATAATAATAATAATAATAATAATAATAATAATAATAATAATAATAATAATAATAATAATAATAATAATAATAATAATAATAATAATAATAATAATAATAATAATAATAATAATAATAATAATAATAATAATAATAATAATAATAATAATAATAATAATAATAATAATAATAATAATAATAATAATAATAATAATAATAATAATAATAATAATAATAATAATAATAATAATAATAATAATAATAATAATAATAATAATAATAATAATAATAATAATAATAATAATAATAATAATAATAATAATAATAATAATAATAATAATAATAATAATAATAATAATAATAATAATAATAATAATAATAATAATAATAATAATAATAATAATAATAATAATAATAATAATAATAATAATAATAATAATAATAATAATAATAATAATAATAATAATAATAATAATAATAATAATAATAATAATAATAATAATAATAATAATAATAATAATAATAATAATAATAATAATAATAATAATAATAATAATAATAATAATAATAATAATAATAATAATAATAATAATAATAATAATAATAATAATAATAATAATAATAATAATAATAATAATAATAATAATAATAATAATAATAATAATAATAATAATAATAATAATAATAATAATAATAATAATAATAATAATAATAATAATAATAATAATAATAATAATAATAATAATAATAATAATAATAATAATAATAATAATAATAATAATAATAATAATAATAATAATAATAATAATAATAATAATAATAATAATAATAATAATAATAATAATAATAATAATAATAATAATAATAATAATAATAATAATAATAATAATAATAATAATAATAATAATAATAATAATAATAATAATAATAATAATAATAATAATAATAATAATAATAATAATTTTATAATATAACATTTACGGATATCATCAAAATGAGAGTGAGAAACATCTATAACTGAAATCGGCAATTACTTAGTTGCCAACCCAATAGTATGTCCATCATCTGGTTTCCCCAAATTCTGTTCACATCTCTTTCGGTAACCATCGCAATTCATGTTCCATGAAAGCAATTTTCGATATGCTTAGACACAACGGGACGAAAGCACAATGTTCAGGGTGCGCACGGTATATAGAATCTCACACATATTTTCAGAATTAGGCGAAAATATTGGATAGGCCATCGTATCGTCCCGGGAAGTATATTTTCGAATAGGACCGTTTAATTTCTTAAAAGCGACGATATCGTCGCGATAACGCGGCCGAATGCCGCTCTGTTCCGCTAGAGAGACGCGGAACACTTCCACACAAGCACCCGCGGAAGTTTTCATAATAACGTATACGCATTATTTTCGGATGCGGGGATGCGAAAGTGAATTCGCGTTTTCACGGCGGTATTACACGGTCGAGGAAACGAGTTTCGGCGTCGTTTACCGTAACGCCGCGCGTCTGGCTTCGCAACACCTCGTTCCGAACTATTAACACTGTTTAAATTGCTGGAACTGCTTAATTATTAATTGTCACGCTAAACAGAGGATACCTGCGCCATTCTCTGCAAGGGTGCTCGAAAATTATAGGATTCCACCGTTGATATTAATACAGCACCGCAAATTAAAAAGCTAAATGTTTAATACGAATAATTTTCCCCGTTGGTGACACACCTATTGTTTGATTGTACTAAATATACTGCCTCGCTAGCTGGTGTGAACGATATTTCAAAAGATATTTCAAAAGATATTTCGCGATGCAAAACGGTGAACGGAACCTGAATTTTTACTGGACATTGGCGAATGGAATTACTACCATTCGATGTTACGATTTACGATCAACTTTTATCTTGTATGCGTTTTCATTTGATTAGAAGTTTTTTCTCTGTTTCGAAACGAATACTGTGCGATAGTAACTTGAACAAAATTAACACCCCCTCGACGTTCTATTCTGTTTAAGTTTAATCAAGAAGTCAAGGCAACGAAGACCGCCAGAAACATTTGCGATGTAGGTCGAAATGGTAATCCTCGAAACGAGGGGACCATTTTTTAGCGGTTCTCCCGCTAATCTTTGACGCTGCTTTAACTCCTTGATTAAACTCAAACATAGAGCATGTCGGGAATGTTCGGTTTCTGCAATTTGACACGATGCAGGAGAAACTTTCGACCGGATCGAAAATTTCATAAGTGCGGAAGAGGAGGAATAAAAATGTAATTTGACACTAAAATTACCGAACCGTAAACGCGACTAAAGTACATACATATATTGTATTTTAACAATGACAAGATTGATTTTATATGTTCGAATATATGTATAATGCTCGAATAACAAAAATTTATCGAAAAATTTGTCGTAGAAACATTTTTATAATATAAGGAACTGTTAAAAGAATCAGGAACGAAACACTTTGACTTGGTAGTTCCTATGTTAAATAATAAAAATTACTGTGTCTGTTTGACACCAAACATGCTCGATCCTAAAAGTAACTATCGCGTATTGCTTTATAACGACGAAAAGACTGTATTTATTTAAACCTTCCGCGATTTTTATTAAAATATTTAAAGTACTAATCGAAAATATTTATAACTTCAGCAACTTGAAAACAATTATTTCTGCAGCAACTTATAATCATTTTTTAGTCAAGATCGAGGATCGAAACAGCGATAATGTTGAACACCAAAAATATTTTAACAAATCTGATACGTAATCCGTTTGAATGTTACTCCATTCTAGTAAGTCAAAATAAAATTCTGTTTTATCGTCATTAATATTTAAGCGCTCGCATAACTGTAGACGCGCGATAAACGCAAATCTTCGTTTTCTTCAAAAAAAAAAAAAATGATCACACTCGAAAAGATTCTAATCATTGCAACTGCGATACGGCAATATGGTACGGTAAGGGGTTAATATATAAAAGATCCGAAGCTCACGATAACCACGGTGAACAGATCATTCTTTCAAAATACCTCCGTTCAGCGAATGGAGCCGGATAAAAGGGCTAGCGAGGCTCGTCCAAAAAATCCTGTTACCCCGGAGAGCGGGAAAGAGAGATCGAATGGGTCGAGGAGGTCCTCGAAGATGGGGAATGATCCCCGGTCCGATGGAAATCCCGTTGAATCCGCAGGGCCAGGCTGGGTCGGGCCTCTCGATCTCTGCTCCCCTTTCACGTCGATCCGTCTTAGATCTGGAACGGAACGGCGGGGCGTACACTCTCAATTAGCATCCGAAGAGAGTCGGACAGGCTGAATCGGGAACAAACCTGGCCAGGTCCGGAAAAGATGAGAGCCGGGAGAGACCGGATGGGGATCCGGCCGCGTTATTCAAGATACCCTACTCCGAAACTGTATCTGCGGCGCTGGCCTGGCATTTAAGGATTACCGGAGTTCAGCATAATATTAGCGTGCTGGAGAAGGACAACAGACAGACAACTGCGACCGAGAAGCGAGGCTGGGCGACGCCGACGCGACGTTACGCGCGACGAGAAGACGAGGAGTAACGCGAGGTTGTAGTCTATGGAGTGAGAACAGTGGAAGTGTGCAGGTATTATTCATGGATTACCTCACTTGTCCCGGCTACAATCCTCCCAAAGCCTCCATTAGAATAATTGCTTCTTCATCTTCGCGCTTGTGTGGTTGTTGCGCCCAGCGCCGCGTCATTCTCTTTCACTGCCGCGATCCGCTTCAACCCTCCCGCCCGTTGGTTTCCTTCTACGCCCCCTGCCACTTAGCCGCATACGTACCATCATGCGTCTCACGTGTGCATCCGACTTTCTTCTGTCAGCCCACCTTTTCGTCACCCGATATCCCACCCCAAGCGAAGGCCCCACCGGCGACGCGAGATTGCTACCGTTCCGACCAGAGGTTCCCAAACCTGTTCACCCTACCGTTCATTATTCAGAAAAAAAATAATTAGCTGACCACCACCGTCGACGACAACTCTTCAACCTTCAACCGTCCACACTGGATCTGCTGGGACCAAGCATTACAGGCTATCGCATCCGAAGAAATATAACTTACCCCCTCTAATAAGAAGGGGTAAGTTATATATATATATATATATATAATATATAAGTTATATAATACCTAATATATATATATATAATACCCCCCCCCCATATATAATACCTATAATACCTATAAATACCTAATAAGGTATGATCCCATTGGGGTGAGTGTGTAGCTTGTTTCATGATAAACTCATGGCTCAATAATATGTTGGTCCTCGAAGCCCATTCAACGTAGTTCAGTTCAAGGACTTACCTTGGTTAAACGTTGTTAAATCTGTCCCGTTCTCTAGTGTTCGAACGAACGACCTTGGACATCCATACAAT